GGATCCACCCGCGCACACGTGAACGAAGGTTCTATACGCTAAGACACGTGGACGGTCTAGAACGAACGAATCAGGGGCGTGAGTGTAGTTCAACGACACGGGACGAGAACGTTCGGAATTCGACATGATGTTCTTAATCCGATCGTACAATAATTACCAATCAGTGCTCATGAGTGTGCATGTAAATATGTATGAACTCGTATTGTCTTGTAAGAGAATATGAAAGAGAGAGTAAAATGTAGTTCTTGTATTGATTCTTGCATTAGCCCTTAAATGTTATACAAGGGAAGTATTTATAGTGTTACATGTGAAATGACAGCCCTTAGATGAGGTGGCACGTTGCCTCATCTCCTTAATTCAAACATCCAATCTTAGGCATCATTCTTGACTTACTAGCTTGCTGCGCATTTATTGCTTATGCAGAACCCCCATGCTAGTGATAAGACTTGACATATGCACTCATGATAAACGTTCCATCAATCATTCAAACAAGATCTTTATGTAGAAGATCTCTTAGGAGAGGTGATCATGGAAGACGTTCATTCATGGTTCGGGGGCCTCTGTCGCTCATGTATTACTTCCGCTTCAGGGCTTCAAAAATCTTCACAGGCCTCGGCATATGGAGTTCGGCAACATTCAAGGCCTCGGTATATGGGCCTCGGCATGAAGAGTGTCGGCCATACATGCCACCTCGACTGGAGTGCCACGTGCCTCGGATTGAGTGGGCCATAGGCCCAAATATATTGGCCAAGTATGACAACACGTAACAAATACTAACCACATCTTTCATGAAATCCACAACTCTTCAATCACATATTTCAAAAACTTTTATCAAAATCTACTAAAAATCTAATTTTAATCTCCAGCAAGCACCGTATCTTTTATTAAAATCCGCTAAACCTTTTATCAAAATATTTTTCAAATAACACCTCAACAATATTTTTCTATCACATTCAATGTGTATCATATATTCACTTATCATCTAGAGACCCAGTCCAACGTCTTAATTAGAGCCATTAAAATTTTTGCAATTTTATTCAAGTGAAAATTAATTCCAATGCAACTGCGCCTTGGTTAAAATATTGCGCCATAGGTAAAATAGACACTATCTAAAAAAATTATCTCTAGGGAAAGCTGACAAAGACTCCATCAAGCTGACATGACGAGAAAAAATAGACAATGTTTAGAACTCCATCCAAATATAAAAACCATGTTCGAATGGAGTAACTCGACAAAATTAATATTTCTTTCCCTTTTCAAATTAAGAAATGATGTTATTTTTTACTTTTAAAAAAAAGGGACACCTAGATAGCAATACATAAATGCATTAGAGGCTAACCATGGACTTGAGTGTCTATTTCGTAGCCTGAAACGCAGTTTACTCAAAGAGTCGACTCTATCTCAAACTTATAGTTTACATTATCCTCAATGTAAGTAGAAATTTAACTTAAGGAAGAACATCAATGCTCCCCTTGTTCTATGATAATGCCTCTCCTTCAACATTCAACCCTTTATCCTCTTTCAGTCTTTCTAGCTTGATACTCAAATTATCTCCGTTGTATTTGAAAAGAGACGTGAAAATTTAATTAGCTAACGACATGGCTAGTTGCACAAAGAAAAGTTCAAAATCACGTGACATATTAGATTAACTTATTTTTATGACATTGTCTCTATATTTCTCTTAAAAGTTCTAAAATTGTAAAAAGAAGTCATAAGCTAAGAAGTGAAAGATAAAAGAGAAAAGTAGAGAGAGAAAATAGGGTTGCTTCCAATAAGTGATTGTTTTAAGTAGTTAGCTTAACTTCTAGAAACAATTGTTTCATGGTATTTTGAATGAGGCCGTACTGTTCTCACGAAAATTTAACTTGAACTCTATCATGAAAACTTCAACTTCTTCCGTTAACCTTGATTACAAAATCAACTTTAGGGCTATAACTAAAATCGAAGATTTCTTGATTGTTTCAACTTCATTGAGCGTCACCGTTTCACTTTGCTCCTTTAGGATCAACTCCTCCTTATCTGCATGATCTTCTTCTTCAGTTGTTATCGATTGGATGGCCATTCAACAATCCAAAATTTTGACCAATTACACAAGGGCATCTTCACGGAAAACATTTCTCATTTTTTTGTGGTAGTTGGAAGCCCAATGGAAGTGATTCTTATAATTCTCCCAAGAGCAAGGCATGCTCATTGACGATGAGCATGCGAAATAATTTAACGGGCAAGTCATCCTCATCAATTGCTAGGGCGAAAAATAATCCTATAGGCAAGTCATCCTCATCAATTTTTATGGGAGAAACTATTGTATGGATAAGGACTTTATCAATTTTTGGAGGGAGAAATAATCACATTAGCACACAACCTCATCATTTTTGCTAAATACATACGCTATTATAGCTCGTAGATGATACCATATGATGAAATCCCCCACTAACATGTCTTTCTCATCACTCGTGATCTGACATCTCGTGTTGCAATTCCTTTACTTCTCTTTGTTCCCTTATAATAATGGAACCAGGAGAAACAAGTAAATCAAATGAAAAATGAAAAATAAAAAACTCAAGCTAATATAATCAAAGAAAAAACAATTAAAAGTCCACAAAAACGATGCTAAATTTAATTTATTTATTTTTCAACCCTACTACGAGTACATTATGGTTTAAACTCTTTCATACGACATGATTTACACCATTAATTTTCCTACCACTTTTTCCATCAATGCATGGATTCCTCCGCATAAGGGGGAATGTCATGCTATTTGTACATCTAACATTATCTTTGATTTTCTTTCCTTCAAATGGATGGATCGTAAATGCTAAAGAACTAATTTAGTGATGAGTAAAGTGTCGAACATATGAGGCCAATTACTTACTTAATTTTAACTAAAACTAGCATTAATTTGACAATTACAACACTAATAGTTTGGTATTACTATATGTATCAACTAAAAACAAGAACATAAAAATAAGCAATAAATTATTGGAGTTCAATTAAATCTCTAAATGCACTAGGGTCGTGAATCTCTCATTGTTAATCTACTTTACATGTTCAAAATCATTAATAAATTAAGTTTGGTATTAACTATATCTATTTATCAACTAAAAACAAGAACCTAAAATAAGCAACAAATTCTTGAAGCTCAATTAAACCACTAAAGACATTAGGGTCGTAAATTTATCATTGTTAATCTACTTATCAATGAAATAATCAACACAAAGTTAGTTATATAATGAAATGGCAATGAGAATTAGTTGAGTAAATGAAAAACAGCAGTTTCCCATCAAAACTTCAATTGATTGGCCCTAAAAGTGGATGAATCGGGGCCCAAATCAAGGACCCAAAATCACGTAGCAACACCACAAAAATTGAACCAAGATTACCTACTCAAGGACCACAAAGGAACAACACAAAAACTGGCCGAACGCTGCTCATTGGAACAATCTTGGTACATGTAGATCTCTCTTTACACTCTAGCTTATCGAATTTACACTTAGTCACAATTTCACACCACATTTCACATCTCACATATTTAATCCAATTATTATAAACTGCCATATCATCCATATATCAACCAAGTGGTAAATAAAAATGTACAAATAACTTTATCCCATTTGGAATGGGTAGAGGAAATTAAACCGTCAAGCTAATTTCCCCAATTCCAACTATTCACATGAAAGAAATGTGGCTGAAAATTAGAAGAAAATTTGTGGAGTAAAAAATAGAAAGGGCTGGATACAATGGTTGGCATTTGGGCCATGGATAAAGTGATCGGGTAGCCCCATCTGATCCCATTAAATTACATTTCAAGATATTTTATTTTTTTTCCTCTATTTTCAATCAAACAATCTTTCATAAAATAATATTACAAGTAAATCGAAAACTTTTTCCTTTTTTTCAACTGCTCATTTTAAAAAAAAAAACATTATTCTATCCATTTTCATTACCAAAAAATGGGGGCCAAACAAGGGTGTATAATAAAAAAGCAAGTAGATTCAACCCACCTGTTGGGTGGAATTTTTTATTTTTAAAGTAAGACATTCTTGAATCGAAATTTGAGTTCTAGCATGCTGCTTAATCTTACATATCAGACTTAAATAAATTGGGGACGAGAATTGAATCCGGAATTTTTACAATAATGCTATTGTATTGAACGATCAAAATTAAGTACCATTTTGCTATTTTATTTATCTTGTTTTCTAATTTTCTTGAATCTATTCTCTTTTGTGAGAAATTGCAAAATATTCTTAGATTCTTGAATTTGTTGCAGGTGATCTATGATACTAAGAAGAATGAAGGAGTAGAGGATAAATCCAAGATGCCTCTTCTTGTTTATGTATCCCGTGAGAAAAGACCTTCACGGCCTCATCGCTTCAAAGCAGGAGCCCTCAATTCTCTTGTAAGCCATACTTCTCTCTGTATATCCATATATACATGAAGCCCTGTTTGGCTCTCATTAAATTTCATTTCATTTTTCTCTCTCCTATATTAATCGCACTCTTCCATAATATAATATCATACGTAAATCGAAAACTTTCCATCCTTCTCAACCACACATTTTTCAAAACAAATACTATTCCCCCCATTTTCATTTGAAAAAATAGGGGCAGACGGGGGCTAGTTTCATGGTAACTTGTAAGATGCTAATACTTTTTCATGCACATTTCAAAAATCGAAACCCTTTTAGAAGCTCTAAGAAACTTTTTGATCAAATATTTGAAAATCTGGATTAAGAATTGCACGTTAGTGCTTTGTTACAAGCCTCGACTAAGAATCAACTAAGTTGCAGCTTCAACTAAAAAGCTAACACTACCTTAGGCTTCAATCCTCCTATGACGAGAGTTTAATTCACTGCTAAATAGATTTTTAAAGTGGTACTTTTTCCACAAATACCTTTCCAAGTGTCGTGTTATGTTGCGTTTCCTATTTCTATTTTCGCGCAAAGTGCAAAAATCATCCAACTCTACTGTTCATGCAGCTTCGAGTTTCTGGGATAATGAGCAATGCACCCTATGTACTAGTATTAGATTGTGACATGTATTGCAATGATCCTTCCTCTGCCAAACAAGCAATGTGCTTCCATCTTGATCCCAAGATGTCAACATCTCTCTCATATGTACAGTATCCTCAAATATTCTACAATGTCAGCAAGAATGATATTTATGATGGCCAAGCAAGATCTGCTTACAAGGTACAAAAACTTTATTATTTTTCAGATTCCATAAGCTGTTTCGCATTTTGGAACTAATCACCTTTTTATTTCTTCGAATAAATAATATTATTATGTATAGACTAAATATCAAGGCATGGATGGGATAAATGGCACTGTTTGCTCGGGAACTAGCTATTACTTGAAGAAGAAAGCCTTGTTTGGTCACCCCAATCACGAAGGTTTTCCTATATACTTTTCTCTTGTGGCGTTGATTTTTCATTAGTTTTCGATGAGGGCATGTCTTATATGTATTGTTATACAATATAATATACAAGATTTTAACTTTTTCTTCATTAGTACTATCGAGTACAGCATAGTTTGCCTCAACAAACATGCCATGAATATAATTGATTGCATTAGGAGAAAAATATAATGTTATCTACTTCTCAAATGTTTGGCAGATGAATTTCTTGATTATGAGCCAGAAAAGAACTTTGGCTTCTCTAGCATGTTCATTACTTCACTAAAAGCACTAAATGGAAAGGAAGTTGTCAATGAAAGGGAAATTTTATCTGATGCAACTTTGGAAGAGGCAAAGAATCTGGCCTCTTGCAGTTTTGAAGAAAACACAAAATGGGGAAAAGAAGTAAGTTTAATTAGCAAACTTTTAGCATGTTTTCCCCTGCTTAAAAACACCTTCTCAGGTTCAATTTTCGGCCTTTTGGGCAGTATGCATACACATGCTACCCAAATAAGCACCTAAAAAGGTTCTTTTAAGTGGGGCAAAACGTGCTCCTTATTTCATTTTTTCTACAATTCTTTAATGATCAAAATTGAATGAATTTTGTTACTCTTTTATGATTACAGATTGGTTATTCATATGAATATTTGCTGGAGAGCACTTTCACTGGTTATCTTCTGCACTGTAAAGGATGGAAATCGGTTTATCTCTACCCGGAAAGGCCATGTTTTCTTGGTTGCACCACGGTTGACATGAAAGATGCCTTGGTTCAAATGATGAAATGGGCTTCTGGATTGGTTCAAGTAGGTTTTTCAAGATTCAGCCCTCTCACTTATGGGGTGTCTAGAATGTCTCTCCTTCAAAGTATGTGCTATGGATACTTTGCATTTACGCATTTTTTCTCCATTGCCTGCCTGATATATGGCATCGCTCCTCAGCTTTGCTTCCTGTTTGGAATTCCCCTATTTCCCAAGGTAAATTTGCATATTTTTATTCAAGGCTATCTATTTGATATATGGCACCTGGGATAGAAAGACTCGTATATTAAGAAACTCCCTCAGGGAAGCTACTCCTAGAAGAGGAGTTAAGAGCTTCCGTAGGCTTATTCTACTTTAGTTCCATAAATTCACTTCAATCTGTCTTATTTACTTAATTTTGAGTTAGTGTTCTAAGCCTTGTAAATTACTTTTCCAGGTCACAGACCTCTGGTTTGCTGCATTTGCAACTGTGTTTGTGTCATCTCAAGCTCAACATCTATATGAAGTTCTTTCTAGTGGTGGCTCGATTAGGACATGGTGGAATGAACAAAGAATCTGGATGATAAAATCAGTAACGGCTTGCTTATTTGGATGCCTCGACGTTCTCATGAAGTGGATAGGCGTAGCGAAAGCAAATTTCCAGCTGACAAACAAAGCCATCGACCAAGAAAAACTCGAAAAATATGAGAGAGGAAAATTCAACTTCCAAGGTGCAAAAATGTTCATGGTACCCTTATCACTGCTAGTTTTATCAAATTTGGGGTGTTTTATTGGTGGAGTGAAAGGACTTATAAGTGGAAGAAATATTGAGGAAATGTTTGGACAGGGTGCTCTATCCCTTTATATTCTTGTTCTAAGTATTCCAATTCTTGAAGGACTGATCCCTAAAATGGGCAAATGAAATTGTTGATTTTTTATATTTGTAGATGTAATACCTATTCATAAGAGTTTTCAATAAAGGGATGAAATTTATGATGAAATTTATAGTGTTATATTGAGAGAAATGTGTTTTCCATTAGTTTAAATTTTAAAGTACACCATATCTTGCATCTGATAACTGTTCTACGAAATTGCACCAGAAATCTCACATTATGTGAGTTCTATGTTGTGATAAAAAATGTCAAAAAATCACTCAATCCTTTCCATTGTGTCTTACCTATTGGCATTCTGTGAAATGCAATTCTGTACCTACTGAATTGTTCTATTCCTTGTGTAAAAAGTTGGAATAAAATTGCAATAATAACATCAAATTTAATGCAGTTCGACAATATATCTCTAACTCCAATTAAATTTTCCACTCTCAAAATAATTAAATTGAACCATTATGTCTACATGACTATACGACAGCTCTCCAAACTTTTGGCCATGCACATTTTTATGCTACTTTCCAATAAAAAATTACTAAAAGTTTTTATATATGATGGGCCCAGTGTCACGCCCAACTAAGGTCACGGTAGACCTTTAAAAATTGAAAGTAAATTCAAATACGAAAGCAACTTCTAGACTTTAGAATGGTGTCCATCAAATTTAAAAGAAGAAATGTTCATTTGAAATTTGTCATTTTCATATGTTCAATTTATCATGAATTTTCTACAACAATGATAAAGTTGTCTGCACCTTGTCTAGCTATTCTTTGACAACATGTCTAGTAATTACTGGACGAGACATGACGATATAATAAATAAAACCTCGTTTGATAAATTCTCAAAATCTTTGTTAACTTTCAATATTACGAACTTTTTAACTGAATAAAATTTTAATTTAAACAATATATTCCAAAAAGTTTGAGCATGTTTGAATTAAAATTTGATTTTAATTTAAGTCAAAGTCAAATAATCAATACTGTTGACCCCAAAAAAGTGTTGCCAACAGATGCCGGATCCACCCGCGCACACGTGAACGAAGGTTCTATACGCTAAGACACGTGGACGGTCTAGAACGAACGAATCAGGGGCGTGAGAGTAGTTCAACGACACGGGACGAGAACGTTCGGAATTCGACATGATGTTCTTAATCCGATCGTACAATAATTACCAATCAGTGCTCATGAGTGTGCATGTAAATATGTATGAACTCGTATTGTCTTGTAAGAGAATATGAAAAAGAGAGTAAAATGTAGTTCTTGTATTGATTCTTGCATTAGCCCTTAAATGTTATACAAGGGAAGTATTTATAGTGTTACATGTGAAATGACAGCCCTTAGATGAGGTGGCACGTGGCCTCATCTCCTTAATTCAAACATCCAATCTTAGGCATCATTCTTGACTTACTAGCTTGCTGCGCATTTATTGCTTATGCAGAACCCCCATGCTAGTGATAAGACTTGACATATGCACTCATGATAAACGTTCCATCAATCATTCAAACAAGATCTTTATGTAGAAGATCTCTTAGGAGAGGTGATCATGGAAGACGTTCATTCATGGTTCGGGGGCCTCTGTCGCTCATGTATTACTTCCGCTTCAGGGCTTCAAAAATCTTCACAGGCCTCGGCATATGGAGTTCGGCAACATTCAAGGCCTCGGTATATGGGCCTCGGCATGAAGAGTATCGGCCATACATGCCACCTCGACTGGAGTGCCACGTGCCTCGGATTGAGTGGGCCATAGGCCCAAATATGTTGGCCAAGTATGACAACACGTAACAAATACTAACCACATCTTTCATGAAATCCACAACTCTTCAATCACATATTTCAAAAACTTTTATCAAAATCTACTAAAAATCTAATTTTAATCTCCAGCAAGCACCGTATCTTTTATTAAAATCCGCTAAACCTTTTATCAAAATATTTTTCAAATAACACCTCAACAATATTTTTCTATCACATTCAATGTGTATCATATATTCACTTATCATCTAGAGACCCAGTCCAACGTCTTAATTAGAGCCATTAAAATTTTTGCAATTTTATTCAAGTGAAAATTAATTCCAATGCAACTGTGCCTTGGTTAAAATATTGCGCCATAAGTAAAATAGACACTGTCAAAAAAAATTATCTCTAAGGAAAGCTGACAAAGACTCCATCAAGCTGACATGACGAGAAAAAATAGACAATGTTTAGAACTCCAACCAAATATAAAAACCATGTTAGAATGGAGTAACTCGACAAAATTAATATTTCTTTTCCTTTTCAGATTAAGATATGATGTTATTTTTTACTTTTAAAAAAAATAAGGGACACCTAGATAGCAATACATAAATGCATTAGAGGCTAACCATGGACTTGAGCGTCTATTTCGTAACCTGAAACGTAGTTTGCTCATAGAGTTGACTCTATCTCAAACTTATAGTTACATTGTCCTCAATGTAAGTACAAACTTAAGGAAGAACATCAATGCTCCCATTGTTATATGATAATGCCTCTCCTTCAACACTCTTAACACTTTATCCTCTTTCAGTCTTTCTGTCTCGATACTCGAATTATCTCCATTGTATTTGAAAAGAGACGTGAAAATGTAATTAGCTAACGACATGGCTAGTTGCACAAAGAAAAGTTCAAAATCACGTGACATATTAGATTAACTTATTTTTATGACATTGTCTCTATATTTCTCTTAAAAGTTCTAAAATTGTAAAAAGAAGTCATAAGCTAAGAAGTGAAAGATAAAAGAGAAAAGTAGAGAGAGAAAATAGGGTTGCTTCCAATAAGTGATTGTTTTAAGTAGTTAGCTTAACTTCTAGAAACAATTGTTTCATGGTATTTTGAATGAGGCCGTACTGTTCTCACGAAAATTTAACTTGAACTCTATCATGAAAACTTCAACTTCTTCCGTTAACCTTGATTACAAAATCAACTTTAGGGCTATAACTAAAATCGAAGATTTCTTGATTGTTTCAACTTCATTGAGCGTCACCGTTTCACTTTGCTCCTTTAGGATCAACTCCTCCTTATCTGCATGATCTTCTTCTTCAGTTGTTATCGATTGGATGGCCATTCAACAATCCAAAATTTTGACCAATTACACAAGGGCATCTTCACGGAAAACATTTCTCATTTTTTTGTGGTAGTTGGAAGCCCAATGGAAGTGATTCTTATAATTCTCCCAAGAGCAAGGCATGCTCATTGACGATGAGCATGCGAAATAATTTAACGGGCAAGTCATCCTCATCAATTGCTAGGGCGAAAAATAATCCTATAGGCAAGTCATCCTCATCAATTTTTGATGGGAGAAACTATTGTATGGATAAGTCTTCTTTATCAATTTTTGGAGGGAGAAATAATCACATTAGCACACAACCTCATCATTTTTGCTAAATACATACGCTATTATAGCTCATAGATGCTACCATACGATGAAATCCCCCACTAACATGTCTTTCTCATCACTCGTGATCTGACATCTCGTGTTGCAATTCCTTTACTTCTCTTTGTTCCCTTACAATAATGGAACCAGGAGAAACAAGTAAATCAAATGAAAAAAGAAAAATAAAAAACTCAAGCTAATATAATCAAAGAAAAAACAATTAAAAGTCCACAAAAACGATGCTAAATTTAATTTATTTATTTTTCAACCCTACTACGAGTACATTATGGTTTAAACTCTTTCATATGACATGATTTACACCATTAATTTTCCTACCACTTTTTCCATCAATGCATGGATTCCTCCGCATAAGGGGGAATGTCATGCTATTTGTACATCTAACATTATCTTTGATTTTCTTTCCTTCAAATGGATGGATCGTAAATGCTAAAGAACTAATTTAGTGATGAGTAAAGTGTCGAACATATGAGGCCAATTACTTACTTAATTTTAACTAAAACTAGCATTAATTTGACAATTACAACACTAATAGTTTGGTATTACTATATGTATCAACTAAAAACAAGAACATAAAAATAAGCAATAAATTATTGGAGTTCAATTAAATCTCTAAATGCACTAGGGTCGTGAATCTCTCATTGTTAATCTACTTTACATGTTCAAAATCATTAATAAATTAAGTTTGGTATTAACTATATCTATTTATCAACTAAAAACAAGAACCTAAAATAAGCAACAAATTCTTGAAGCTCAATTAAACCACTAAAGACATTAGGGTCGTAAATTTATCATTGTTAATCTACTTATCAATGAAATAATCAACACAAAGTTAGTTATATAATGAAATGGCAATGAGAATTAGTTGAGTAAATGAAAAACAGCAGTTTCCCATCAAAACTTCAATTGATTGGCCCTAAAAGTGGATGAATCGGGGCCCAAATCAAGGACCCAAAATCACGTAGCAACACCACAAAAATTGAACCAAGATTACCTACTCAAGGACCACAAAGGAACAACACAAAAACTGGCCGAACGCTGCTCATAGAAGGCAGTCGAAACATGAACAGAGAACGGGCAGAGAGTGGGGTAAATGCATGGAGCACAGAGGCCAAAGACCGGTGGTCAAGCCAGGGGGCGGAGCCAGCCTTTCTAGGTTGTGGGGTCAAAAATTAATGTGTAATTTTTCAAAATAATATAATATTAATTTTGTTTACTATGTTATTTTTAGATGTTGAGTTAACGGCGAATAAATCAAATTGGATGTAGGAAGTAAATGAATTGAAATAAAATTCACATTTAATTTATGAAGTAAATGAAATTTAAGTTTAACAAAAAATAATTTGAAAGTAATTCAAATTACATTTAATCCGTAACGATTTTAGAATTTTTGACGTCATCTTCCATGTAAAATTTCCTAATAAAATGATGTAAATTATATTGAAAAATTTATCGCACAAAAATAAAAACGTTAATGAAATATTGAATTTTTTTAAGAAAAAAAATGAGTTAAACGTTTTTTCTAGTACATACGTTTGACACATGTTTAACTATTTTCAATATCCGTTTGGATCAATTGATATGATTACGTTGCAGTTATCGAAACAAGTTTCTAGATGACACAGGCGATTTGTGGATTTGGATAATATATGATCATTGGCAATTTTTTTTAAAATTTAGCATATTATCGAACTTTTCAAAATACTAATTTGGAA